GGCCTGGACGGTCCTGCTCTGATACCATGTTGAGCAGGAGAAGAAGAAAGGAAAGGAGGAAGAAGAAGAAGAAAGAAAAGGCTACTGAGTTAAGGCCTCAAAAGAACTGCTTCAGTCGAGTGAAGCATTTGTATTTATACTATACTGGTCGTACAACACAATAGGTCTACAAAATTACAAAAATACCCCTGCAGGCACTAAACCTGCATACAGTACATATAATACACCTGTCAACAGGCTTCTTATAGTAGTCACAGATCAAATCCTTCTTGTCCTCATTCTTAGGCTCACTGCCTCCCTTATCCCCCACTCGGCTAAGGTTTCATTGTGCTGGCCATAGCTGATTGCTCAAGGTTTAGGTTTCTCATCATCACATTCCTCATACTTTTCTCCCCAAACACAAAGGAATATGCTTAAGAGAGAGAGAGACACTATCTTGGGAGAGAACATGTTCATGCAATGTCATACTCTGGATTGAGTCCTGCTAGAAACTCAAACACTCTATTCTTCTCTACCAGCTTCTGATAAGTGGTTGCATCTTTGCAACTCTCCCAAACCACAGTCTCCAAATGATCTATCTCCTCCCATAAAGTTTTGAGAGCTGAAAAATAATCTACAACAGACTCTCCCTACCTAATAGCAATCACTTGTTTCCTCAACTGGTCGGCCCTAGCAACATTCTCACTCTATGAATAAGTTTCTGCAACTCCATCCCAGATTTCCTTGGTTGTGTTAGCCCTTTAAAAGTTCTTACTTATATAGGGTAACATAGAATTGCACAACCAAGTCATCACCATGTAATTCTCCTGCACTCACTAGGGGGAGTTAGTCTCGGACTTCTCTTCACTGGTGAGGTACCACAACTTTCCACGAGCTCCAATGGGCATCTTTGCTGATTGAGGCCACTCCAAGTAGTTTCTACTATCCAACTTAACTGTAGTGATAGTCCCTGCCCCAAAAGGGTCACTATAACCTCCTCCACCTAGTCCCATTTCACCTGTGGATTTGTACTCAACTCCATTTCCCTCCATAATTCCCAGAACAATTTAGGAAATCAACTGTAGATGAGAAAAAAAAGGATTTATCCTCTTTAGAGGCCTCAACCACCCCTTTGGTACCCAAAAAGCTCCCCCTACAAACATTCCCTTCTTCGTGGAAGTAGGTAGAAGGAAGAGAAAAGGTTGCTGCTCCCTCCAGAAACCTCAGGAAAACTTGGAACTTGAACCACCCTCTTCAAAAAACACCAAGAAACCCAAAAAAAAACCAAAGCGCCCCTTCTTAGGTCAAAAATGAAGAGCCCTATTGTAATCAGGATTCTTTCCCTTTCTCCAATTCTTCCTAATTTTGGTGATCAACCCTAGATCTGCTACATGGGGTTGTAGATCCACCAAAAAATCCAAATACCGGGCACTTTTGAAGTCCTCAATCAACTCTTTAACTCATCATGCAGTCGGCTTATCTAGGGCTGCATGATGGAAAAACTCAAAAGTTCCCTAAAGATGCTCTAATACCAAGTAGAAAGTAGAAAACTGCAATCTGATTTGATACCTGTGATCGGAAAGAAAGAGAAAAGAAGTTTTTTCAGAGAAGAGGAGAGAAAATGGAAAGAATGGTATTTATCAAAAAAAAAAAGGAAAGAATGGGAGAAAGCGAAAAAACTGATCTGGACGCCCCTTTCATTATCTTATATACTCATAAATGAATCTAATTACAATGACAGATATATCCTTAGTAAGTCGGCTACTGCTAATTAACATAAAAAACAATCTTAACAAAACATAAATTAATGGGCCTTGGGCCCAATGACTCTAACTAAACTTTATAAACAAAAGACACAAGTATTATCAGCCAAATCTCAACATAGTGCTTTGGAAAAAGAATTACATTACAAAGTCATACTATCTTGCACACCCTTTTAGATTCTTAGCCTTGTCTAACCCTCACCTTACAATTTCTTACATTGGTATTGTGCCCTAATACAAGTTATTACTATGTACCCCAGATTTTACCAAACCATCCTCTAGGTGGTTAGCTGACCTTAGTGTCCAGCTAAATTGAACTCCAATTTCTGAAGATAATTTAGATAATTCCGTTGGCATGTTTCTATACTAACACCATCCCACTTCATTGTTCTTGACCTATTTGTACAACCTTTGAATCTCCTTTAACCTGCAAAACTTGTAATTGAGTGACTTAACCAGCCTAAGACTGCAGCACAGCCCATAATTCTGCTCTAATAGAGTCTCCATTCCCTACTGGTCCTGAGTAAATTGCTTGAATGTTGTCCTTCCCAATTCTTGAAACTACCCGTACACTAGATGGGCCTGGGTTTCTTATGCTGAACCCATCAAAATTCAGCCTTAGCCTATCAATATGGATATGTAAGAGTTCATATTCTCAAATCTTGTTAATGAAACCTTCCACAGGTGCAGCCAAGGTTTGAAATTTTGCAACATATTGGTCCATATTGGCCTATACGTTGCATTTTGTTGAGGGCCCAATAAGTGGAACATACAGAATCTGTATGTTTCATTTATTTTCGTTATTATCGGTTTGATGGGGCCTGTATTGGACAGTTTTGGGTCTATATCATCCAATACAAACCTGATATGGTCCAATGCGTTGTTTGTATTGGCCAATACAATTTGAATTTAATATACTCTCCTCTCTTATTTAATTTTGGCAACTTTTAAATATCAAATTTAATTTCCTTCTTTCTCTCTCAATTTTAATAACTTTTCAAATTCAAATTTAATTTCTATCGCTCTCAATTAAGTATCACATTTAATGACACACCATTAAAGGCAAATTAAATACTAGATTTAAGGCAATGTTCAAATTCAAATTTGAATTTGGCATGCCACTAAACTTACCTCTTAAAAATCACAAGTAGGGGACAAAGGGATTTGAACCCTAGTCATTAGTTTGTGTAGAGATAATGAGCCGAATGTGTTAGGCAGTATATGCCCTTAGCTCTAATCAGACAGATGCTGATTGGGTGGTTGAATCCAATGATCATTCAGGTGTAAATGTTGTGCCCGAACTGGACCAATGCTGATTGGGTTAGGGGTTCACTACCCTGTGCAGTGAATTCAGCCTAGCCTCTTTCAAGGGTAGGGCCGAACCCATATGGGCTTGTGTAAGATCACTGTGGGTCCCACACCATACAATATCAGGCCCAAAGTGGCCATGCAACACTTAGGGATGTGAGCCTTTAAGTAAAATGGGCCTAAAGGCCCATTACTAATATGATTAGTTAAGCTGTCACATGTTGTCATGTGAGTTGGGTCAAAACTGGGCATGGTTCTAGGTATATAGTACCTATCCTCTTAAGAGGATAATGCTTATCTCTTAAAAGAGTCCAGATCCAAATCAAATTTGGATAATCTCCTAATTAAATTAGGAGAGTGCTCCATATAAGGGGGTTAAGAGGAAGAGGGCAAAGAGAACTTGTTTTCTTCACTCTCTTGATCAGTTTTTCTTCTAGTTTTTGCAAGAAAAACGTTGAAGAATATCAGGCTCACTCATCCCACAAGATCCAAGCCAGTTGGATAGCAAATTTATTGAAATCAAAGTTGCTGAATCGGTTTCTCCTGTACACTGCGCCATTTTCAGTTGGAGGACAATTTTGGGACTGATATTGGGTGCGAACTACCACCTTGGGAGCTGCTATTTGTGGTCTCCATATCAAGTATAATCTCCCTTCTCTTTGGTTTCAAATCTGGTCCGGTTCAATGCAAGAACAATCCTGAATTTTCAGATTTCAATTTACCAGGAAATTGGTTCCCGAGAAGGTTAGAAAAATTTTGAAATTTCGGCCAGCCACCTTGCATTATTCGGCCATTCATTTGATGGATTCTAACCCTATTCCAACAGAATGGACCTTAGTTTCTTTGCTTTTCTTTATGTTTATGACGTGTGTTACTAGGTAGTGACCTTGGTTATGGGCCTGTTTTCTCTTTTTTATTGTTGTCTTTAGTAATGGACGCCCTACTAAGGGTGCTCATGTAATTGTCCTTATTTTTTAGAACAAAAGAATAAAAGAGATCATTGGGGGCTGAAAAGAAGTTTTGAACTACTCTCTCTTCTTCTTCCTTTTCTTCTATCTTCTTCCTCCATCACTTCTCTCTCTTCAACCTCATTCTTTTCTCCTATTTCTTTTTCTTTTAAATCAGATTATTGCAGGTGTGATTTACAATTGTTTGTAATAACCACAAGTCCACCACTTTGCCATACTCAAAATGCTTGGCATATTAATATGTATTTTAATTCTTAACTAAACTCTTTTTTTAGTGGATGACTGTCAATAAAAGCTAAAATTCTTTGTTAAAATTTATATACTAATAAATATTAATACAAATTATATTATTTTTTAAAAACTAGGTATACACATACATTCTAGTTCTTCCATCATTTTTCAGTGGTTCCCAATTATGTCTCAATATTTCACACTTTGTATAAATCATTGAAGCATGGTTTTTTATGTTTAAATAACTTATTTATAGTCATATAAAACTCATATTTATTGCTATTATATAGTTTTTTAGGATTTATATGAGTTTATCAGCACATTCATGTGTATCTTGATTTTTTGTCTGTATCCATGCATATCCAAAACATATCTCAATACATCTCTTAAAATTACCTCTCCGATAAACATTGCATTTCCAATACTTTGAACCTTGGGCGCAGCTATTATGGATCATTTAATTCTTAATATATGTATTTATCAATTTCTTCTACATTATTCTGTTGATTGTCTTCTTTGTAAGGAAGTGTGTGTATTTCTTTTACTGAAGTTAAAAGTAACATTGTGCATGAACATTTTTGGAAATGATAGTTGTTCATGGACAGCTAATTTTTGTTACCACACTTCTTGCTAAATATCAACTTCTTGAGCTACTACTTAAGAGAAAATTAAGGAGCCATTAGCTAGCATCTCATCGAGATATAAAATGTTAGTTGTTTCATCATTAAGTTATTGATGAAAGTTTCTACAGGTTCTAAAAAAGGCTGATATGATTCGCAAAAATGCAGTTGAGAGCATTCTGGCTGAGCGTAACATCCTAATAACTGTTCGCAATCCTTTTGTTGTAAGCAGGTCTAAAAATTTTAGCATATAGGAAAGAGTGAAAAATTACTTTTTTAACCTGTGTTTTCTTATCCAATGATGAACAGGTCCGATTTTTCTACTCCTTCACATGCAGAGAAAATCTCTATCTGGTCATGGAGTACTTAAATGGAGGAGATCTTTACTCTTTGCTGAGAAATTTAGGCTGTTTGGATGAAGATATGGCCCGTATATATATAGCAGAAGTTGTAAGAACACGCTATCTCACTTGCTCTGCTCCAGAATCCAGATATGCAATTACATATCTCTATTTCAGCACAGTTTTACATAGGAAAATATTCAATTCTGAAAGTTTCATTATTTCTCTGGTTTAATTATTTCAGGTTCTTGCATTGGAATATTTACATTCCTTGAATATCATTCATAGAGACCTGAAGCCAGACAACTTATTGATTGCTCATGATGGTCATATCAAGGTCACTACCTTGCTGATTTAGTTCCTTATTGTTTACATACTCTAATCAATTCCCTGTGGTTGCATGAGTGTAATTCTGGCTAAACATTACAACTAATACACTCACTGACAATTCATCTTATTCTCACTTTTAATGGTGTTTTATTTAATTTTACTTGTACTGTTTGGTGCCTAATGAATGTTGAATGTCCAACAAAGAAATTTGGAATTTGAAAATAATTCAGAGGCTGGATGTAAAATTTGTTGCAACAGTTATTTTAGTATAAAATGGTTATTCCTCAAGGTTTTTCTACCTATATATCTCAAACATTCTTTTGGACAACGGCCAACTCAGGCTCCACTTCACTGAATAGGTGTGTGTGTGTGTGTGTGTGTGTGTGTGTGTGTGTGTGAGAGAGAGAGAGAGAGGGAGGGAGGGAGGGGGGAGGAGTGGAAACTAATGACTTCATTCCTGTCTTACTTTTTTTTTTTTTTTTTGATAAACAACAGAGTAAAAAATATTCATTCAACACAAAGCTGCACCCAAAGAATGCAGCCCTTCATTCCTGTCTTATTGCTTTGCATCTTGCCTCTTATATAGGCTCAATGCACAAAGAATTGACAGTTACATCTCAACAACCTTTAATGACTTCTTGATCAACTGCCCAAGTTGTTAGACTCTTTTTGTTGACCTGTCATCTTCTTCCTTCTAGAATAACTTGTTGTATAATGGACTTGATTCCTGGACTCACAGATCTTGGATCCCTAACATAGTAACACATTCTGTCTCTGCTATACTTGTTTTGTTGATGTTATGTTTCTTTACAGCCTATTTATTTTGCTTCATAAGGCATGGCATCATGGCCAACACTTGAACTGCTTTAAGCAATTTTTTCTTCAGTTTTAAGGGCCTATGGCTGATCATGGAATACTCTTTCAGTGTATCTAAACTTCAGTAAGTAGAGAAAATGTTTAAAGAAATCATGCCAACATCCATCTTCGTCCGCCATTTTCAAATCTTCCCATCACCATTTCAACTTTCAAGGGCTACGTTCTTTCAAGTATATACTGCATATGAATTTAGAATCTCCATCCTGAATTATATAATCTAGAGGTAATTCGTACAGTGAATACTTCAGAGCAATGTTGCAAGATTCAGACTGGGCATAAAACCAGTATTCTTGTTGGGTCTTGGTTTTACCAGCTAAGCGGATGGTTTAGCCTGTTCAAACTGTGAAAATTGTCATTTAGTGGGACCTGGAAGGTAACTGTCACTGGGTCACTGGTTCAACCATTTGATCTAGTCTAAGTCTTACTTCTTCAGTGAACGTGCTACCATGTATCAGTGTACTCTACTTAATGGACATTCATATTCTTTAGATGTTATTAAGTGGGAGAATAGGACAGCAGATACCCAACCCTATATAATTGGGATAAGGCTTGGATGATGATGAAGATAAACAGGGCAGCAGATAAATTTGTACATTTTTAAACCTGGTCTAAGAAGTTCCTATCTATTTTTTCTTGGCCTTTTTATTTTTCCTTTTATATATCATTCTATTAAGGAGCTTTTTGATAATAGCTGAAATTGCTAAAATGAATCACTCATTGGTCTGTCTATTAGTGAATAAATTATTTTTCAATTGGTAACTGTAATCTTTATTAAATTGATGGAAAGAATATTATGTTCAAAGAGATTAGTGGAATATGCTTAACATCTCTAAGGTCAGAAGACTAAACAAATTACTGCCTTCCCCATCCTATACAATTAGTTTCCCAATACAAGTAAGGTCTATTAACATCTTTCCTTGTGTCAGCCAAACTATTTGCTGACCTTCTGTCCCATCTAATTTCGGGTTTAACCTTCACCATCAGTCTTTTAATTTCTCTTACAGTGAAACTATGTTGACATGTGCCTTGCCTGTCATCATGGATCCAGCCAATGTCCAACCTTGAATCTCCTTCCACTACAATATCCTTATCATTCTACTTATTACGCAGTTTAAGACCTTGAAGCACTGCTTCTAGTTCAGTTCTAGTCAAATCTCCCTGCCCAATTGGCCCTGAGCAGATAGCAATGATGTCCCCAAGGTGATTCCTGAAAACTTCTCCAATAACCGATGGTATGGGATTTCCCATATGGCATTCATCAAAATAGGGGATGATGTTAACTATAACATCTATGGAAAAGGGATTGAACAAATCCAAAGTCTTCACCCAATTTACAATCTTCGCCATGATGTTTTCAATTAGGTCGGGTTCACTCTTTTCCATTAAATATACTAGCATTCCTCTCTTTTCACACTGTCCACAATATTGCTTCCCTTGTACACCTCTAAATCACCTATCCCCTTTTCTTTGGTGGTGAAAAAAAAGGATTCCTTGAATAGGACCTGAGTGTCATCTGGAAGGCCCCACTTACATCCAAAGAGAGAAGAAAAACTCCCAAATGCAAGCGACAAAGAAGCAGGAAATTAGAATTTGAGAAGTACTCTCACCACTTGCCAAGCAAAGAACACATCTATGTGGGTTTGTCTTTTAGTGAATAAATTACTGAGGCTGCGAGCTCTTTAGGCTGTGTTTGGTTTGAAAGAAAAGATAGGGAAAGGAAGGGTAAGGTAGTCCCTTCCTTTCCCTATCTTTTCTTTCAAACCAAACACAGCATTAATGACTGAAATGAAGTTGGGTTGGTTACTGTATTGTTGAATATTGTTATTTAATTATTTTATCCACGAAGGTCGGAAGTAATAAGAAATGGTTTAAACATCCAGAATTTAATGATGGATATGGCACTGAAGAGAATGGAATAGCAAAACAGGACTCAGGTAGCCAGCTCCATATAGTTGATACAAGGCTTAGCCATTGCCCACAAAAAGACAAAAATGAGCCATTCAGTTGGTACAAGGCATCTATTCTGTGGACAAATAATCAGATAATCCTACTATTTCACTTAGGATGGGAACTCTCTAGCTTTTCTTTATTACCTTAGATATTACATTGTTTTGTTGTTGTTGCTTTCCTTAAATATTCCATAGTTATTGTTGTTGTTTTTGTATCTCTAGTCAATGCTCCTAGTGCTTTTGCTTGATCCAATGTTTGTCTAGGCAATTCCACAGTTATTGCTTATCCATTTTGGAGTTTAAATTTGTCTATATTAGCATATATATGGAATTTTAATTTTCTATCCCCCTCATATTCTTCTCTCTTTGACATCAATTAGCACTGTGTTGTATTTGTTAGTGTTACCATTATAGCTGAGGATATTATTTGTCAACTCTCACAAATCTCTAATCCCTTCTGTTACAGTTGACAGATTTTGGGCTCTCAAAGGTTGGTCTTATCAATAGCACAGATGATCTATCTGGTCCAGTTGTTGGCAGCACTGCTCTTCTTGGTGATTATGAGCCAAAAACTGCAGAACAACAGACATTAAAAAGGGAACAGCGCCAAAAGCATTCAGCTGTTGGTACTCCTGATTATTTGGCACCTGAAATACTTTTAGGAATGGGACATGGTAAATATTTTTTTCTGTTAACTGAATACCATACACCTTACAAACCAGTGATTCTTTTCCTTTTTTCTGTTTGATTGCTAAGGTGCAACTGCAGATTGGTGGTCAGTGGGCATTATTCTTTTTGAGCTGCTTGTTGGTATTCCACCATTCAATGCAGAGCATCCACAGGTACTCATCTGATATTGACAGGATTTATGCTTTTCCAAATGATTTAGGAACACATAGATGACCTTTTTCATGTTTTATAGTTGACAATAAAAATTTTCTGTGCCTCTGTTTTCTTGGTTATGTTTCTACAAGCATCACATGTGCTACTTAATGTCTATGATTTCAATCCTAATGGAGGGGTGCATCTGGATTTTATGTGATAGGCAAATGCCACTTAAATAAAAAGGAAAATTCTGAAAACAGCTGCAAGGCCAGCAATGCTGTACAGAGCAGAGTGCTGGTCAATTAAGAAACATGTCTAAAAAATGAGTGAGAGAAAGTAGACTAAGATGGTTTTGTCACGTGCATAGAAGACCATCAACAGTTTTAGCACCTATAAGAAGCGATTTGTTGCAAGTTGAAGGGGCTAGAAGGGCTAGGGGTAGATCAAAAAGAACATGGGGAGAAGTAGTAAAAAATGATTTAAAAGACAATAATTGAACAATGGATATAGCATAGCCACCAACCCCATATAGTTGGGATAAGGCTTGGATGATGATATCTATATCTATGTCTGTACATGTATCTATCTATCTATCTACACACACACACACCAGACCTTCTAGAAGCAATATTACTAATATTAGAAAATGCTGCTAAATGTGATATTGAAACATTAATTAGGAAATCGGTGTATTTTAAATTCTGCACTATTTGAGAACAAACAATGCTTACTAACTGGTTGTTCTCTATTGCAGAAAATTTTTGATAATATAATGAACAGGGATATACCCTGGCCACGTATACCTGATGAAATGAGTTATGAAGCACATGATTTGATTGATCAGTAAGTTTCTGAAATATTTCTAGATAGTTAATCATCTTACACCAGTGCTTCTTTAAAGAATATCAATGATTTCTTATGCATGCATTTCTTGATGATGTCTGATTAATTTTAATTAAAGAAAACAATATGTGCCAAATTTTAGTTAAAATGTGTACTGAAATATTATTAGCGTGTTACTCATTTTTGGGAAAGTAGTTATATTTTTTACAATCTATTTCGCATGAACATTATTCTTGGGTGAGTTGTTGCATGGATACTAGTCTATTAAATTATAGTTTATTTTGCACGAGAATCTTAAAAGGGATCATGATATTTTGACATATAAATGATTATATCAATACTCGTGGCCTTTGACCTTATGGGTAATTGTTTATGGAAAGCTGCTCATGTAAACTCCCTGTCCCCTGCCTGAGGGTTTGTCCCTTGATCAAAATTGGAGAATCCCTTTCCTACCTTTCTTCACATTCTAATTTTATTCATCATAAAATGTTGCAGTATAACCAAGTGGATACACCCTTGTCCTGAAAGATGAAATGCCAAAAAAACAGGTACACAAATGACCTAAGAGAAAAGGTTGAAAAGACCCATATTCATAAAAAAAGGTTGAAAAGACCCATTTTATAATTGAAAATCTTCGTCTTTTTGGTAGGAGACAAATCGTCTACATTATGGAAACTATAGTTAATGCTAAAACACCCATAGTTTCTCAAGGCATCTACAGTCACATTGATCTCTGCATGGACATGAATGGTTCTGACCTCAAGAGCCACAATTAAACTGATGATACCTTGCCACCATTACAACACAATCCATGGGCACCTTGTTCTAGAAAAAGGGCTGTAAACAAAGTTCCTTGCTATAATTAGGCTATCTGAAGTCATCCAAACCTTAGCCACAATAGTGGAGATATTCATGTTTGATTTCCATATTGCAAATACTTTAGAATGCCTATATTGGGAATTGGGATCATAACTATTCCTTGAACAATATATTATTGTTTCCCCTAAATAAGAATACCTATTTCTCTAAGTAAATATATTTTTCTAATACATGTGACTTCTATCTGAAAAGTAGACTCAAGTGGAGTTGTTCATTTAAATTCTTGGTACTTACGCTTTTTTTTTTTTTTGTCACTGTTGAAATGAGTAAACTTAGTTCAAGCTTTCCCTCATTTTTGAGGTAAGGTATATGTCATTAAGGAGGCGTCAAAAATTTATAAAAGAGAACTCAGCACTACTATACAGCAAAACACTGTACATTTCTTGAATATATTGGAAAACTCATCTGGAACAGTTTATATCTGTAGATTTTGGCAGATGAGCCATGTATATGTTGTCATTATCATCCTCCCAATCAGCCTGTCCTGTGAAACTTATATTCAAAAGTTCTAGAATTATACGCCATTCACACTGTTCATATACTGAAGCTGGTCTGGTTTTCCATTCCTTCGTTTCTTCCCAAATCCACCCAAATTTCAGCCTTCTGAAACCTCCTTGAATGAGCTAAAAAATGTCCAAAATATATTTAATGAGTTCTGTTAGTGAAGGGGTATTACGGTCTTTGTACCTGTTGAGAGTGCTGATGTATACTATTATGTTAGTTCAAGTGTCCCTTACTTAAATAAGGGCACTTATGTCTTCTCCAGTCACGTTAATAATATAATAACAGGTCTGGCCGAAACTAGGGTTGACTTTTTCCTATTTTCGAACCAGACCTTTTCTCTTCTCCTTCCTCTTTCTTCCTTCTTGCTGTTTACTTTACATCTAACAAACAAAACAGACTCCTAGGGCAGGCTGAACTTTAACATGGTATCAGAGCAACATCAAACAAATCAGACCTGCTAGAATTCTGTTTTCTGCGCATTCGAACTAGGGTTTTTCTTGGATTTCTCAGCCGTTGGTTGGAGACTGGGAAAAGGGCTGAAAAGGAGTGATCGCCCTCTTCCCTTGGAGGTTTCTATGCCTCCGGTGGTGTCGTTGGTGATTGGTTGCTGTGGTTTCTAAGCCCTTCCCTAATTAATGTAGGGCTGGAGTGTGTAGTGCTCAGGATTCAGTGATAAGGGAATTCAGCAATGGCAGATAACAGTAAATAGTACACATCAGCACTCTCAACAGGTACAAAGACCGAAATACCCCTTCACTAACATGGACTCGAAGAAAGTAACATCAGTACTCCAATGAAGCTCTATTGTGACAATCAGGCAACGGTTCATATCTCTTCCAATCCGGTGTTTCATGAAAGAACCAAGCACATCGAAGTTGACTGTCATTTTGTGAGAGAGAAGGTGCTGAATGGAGTGATAGAGACTGCATATGTTAATACAGGAAATCAGTGGGCAGACTTGTTTACAAAAGGTTTGAGTCGGGGGAGAGTGGACTACATATGTAACAAGCTGGGATTATAAGATATATACTCACCAGCTTGAGGGGGAGTGTTAGTGAAGGGGTATTTCAGTCTTTGTACCTGTTGAGAGTGCTGATGTGTACTATTATGTTAGTTCGAGTGTCCCTTACTTAAATAAGGGCACTTATGTCTTCTCCAGTCACATTAATAATATAATAACAGGTCTGGCCGAAACTAGGGTTGACTTTTTCCTATTTTTGAACCAGACCTTTTCTCTTCTCCTTCCTCTTTCTTCCATCTTCTTTCCTCTCTTCCTTCTTGCTGTTTACTTTACAGCTAACAAACAAAACAGACTCCTAGGGCTGGCCGAACTTTAACAAGTTCAAAAGGAAGGACCAAAATTCTTCGGTTCTATTGCAATGGATGAAGAGATGGTCGTTTGTTATTTCATCAAAAGAAGAAAAAAAGAATTGCCTGGTTACAGAAAACGCATCCAGAGATGGGGATCTAAAATTTAGTAATCTTACATTCATTAATTTCATATAAATGTAAATAGTACACATTGCAACCATGTAAAATAAATTCTTTGGAGAATATTTCATGTCCCCCTTAAGGTAGAAAGTTGCATGGGGAATTTTGAAATTTGGATCTCAAATTAAATAATTATAACCCCCTTCATCCACAATATTGATCATGTGTTTTTGTGGAGTCAATGTTTCTCTTCCTTTTCCAATGTTTTTAAAAGATGGAGGTATGAAGCAAGGCTGTAGAAGTTTCACATGTATGAGATGTGAGGCTTAAAAAGCATCATGAAATCTTATCTTTTTAGGAAAACATGATTTAACGTCTCCTTAGGGGGTAGAACTACTCATATTTAATCCACATCCAGAACCTGTTCACCATTTAAGGTAGATTAGAACAATCATTATCTTCTACCCATAGCTAGTCTGAATTCCTGTGGTATATATAACACATTGACCAATGAATTAGTGAAGACTGAGACCCCTAAGACAGGATCTGCAGTTCTGCATTGCAGGTTCTTGTTTCCTTTGTAAAGTTTCCTTGGGGCTTCCTATTAGTGCCTTTGGCATACACTGTTCATATATTATGATATGAATATGCCATACCAATTTGTTATGTAAATAATGAGATTCCATTGATACAGTCATCCCAATTGACTTATTGAACACTCCCATTGCCATTTATCCAACAAGAATTAAAACCCATGAATTCACCAATTATGACAAGATCTGCAAAGTAGGTTTTTTTTAAATTTATTGATACATAAATGCAAATTAGATTGTCACCACACACAGACACACTCACCTCTCTAACAATAATTTCCAATAAAGACAGAAATGTACCCTACAATAATAGGGCATTGACTACCAGTAAAAATAAAAGTTACAAGCAAGAAGCTATATTGAAAGTTCCTGCTACATTAAATAGTTGATTTGGTATCCGTCCTTTAGTAGATAATTTTTTTCTTCTTTATTGAACTGTGTGCATCATTCACTTTCAGATAATATATATATATGCACTTAGATGTATCTCCTCACCTGTTATTGCTATTTTTCTTGCTTAGATGTATCTCAATAAAGCCTTTTATTAACTTTGATTTTCTTTCTGTTCAGATTGCTGTTTGAAAATCCCATCCAGAGACTTGGTGCAACTGGGGCCAGAGAGGTAGTCTTAAGTATTGATGAATATTTATCATCTGCAAGGTATTATAATAATAATGAGAGATATACTGCAAAAAATATTTTTAACAATGTGGCAGGTTAAGTGCCATGCTTTCTTCAAAAACATCAACTGGGATACTCTTGCCAGGCAGAAGGTGGTTCTTTTCTTTTAAATTTGCAGTGATCATAAATTATTTTGCAAGAATATGCAAAACAAGAATTAAAATTTCTTGTTATTTGCAGGCTGCATTTGTTCCCTCAGCCGAAGGTGCATATGATACAAGTTATTTCACAAGCCGTTACATATGGAAATCATCAGACGAACAAGTTTGTCCATCTGGTTATGACTTTGATGATACATCTGAGACATGCAGCACATCCTACAGTGGCAGCTCATTCAGCAACCTACTAGATGAAGATGTATGGACAATTTTTTTCGTATTTTTCTTTTAATGTCTGTAAACTTTATGCCAGCCTCTTAACTATTGGATGCCTGTGAAACAGGATGAATGTGGTAATCTTGCAGATTTTGGAACCCCTGCCCTTGCAGTGAAGTATTCATTTAGCAATTTTTCATTTAAGGTGTGACATGTTATAGCTGGATATCTTCTGGTTTACTAACTTAAGAAGTCATAATGCAAATTCTTCTCTTGTTGCATATCCAGAATTTATCTCAGCTAGCTTCCATCAATTATGATCTGGTTGTAAAGTGTAGCAAGGATTCTTCAGAAGCCTCCAAACCCTGAGGTATAATATAACAGTTAATTTATACAGTTGCTTCAGAAGCAGAGTTCCTATATCAATCGTCATTCCAGTTTGTTTATATCTATTCATCCGTCAGATTTCACCTGTAGAAGTTAGTGACCGACCTGAATTCCATTCTGAAATAAAGCCGACACATTTTTTTCCAGTTAGTCACCTATATGTGGTAGAAATTGACTGACACATTTTTGGTGAAATAAAGCTGGTTGAAATATATTATTTATTCAAATTACTTCTTTCATAAAATATATATGTGCATGTGTGTGTGTTGGAGGAGGGGGGTCTTTCAATTACGGAAATTTAGCTCTTTTTCTTCCCTCTTGCCAGTTTTGTGCATATAAGAGTATACTTTTAAATGCTAACATCAAAGAATGAATCTTACATTGAACATGACACCCTTATATTAAACAGTTGACTCATTAAAGTCCAACTGGCTCTGGGGGAGGAATAGTCTCTATCAGATACCCCCAGAGAAAGCCTAGCAATCCCATGAACATTTGGGATACTTAACCGGGCACCCACCAAAACCTAAACCAATGTTCTCAGATTTGGACTTGACGTTGCTTTGGTCACTGGGCATGTATTGTGAATGGTCTGATCATCTGGTTCATGTGACTCAAATAAAAACCTAATTAAGACCTGATCAAATAGATTAGTGATTCAACCAATAAAGTCATTTGGTTGTTTACCAAGCCAATGATTTTTTCTTTTTTTTGCAAAAAAGAAAAAAGGTTGTTTAAGTTAAAACATACTCAAAAAGTATGTCCAAGTGATGAACTAATAAATCCTATTGTTCGGTTCAACCACAAGTTGAAGATATTGATACAAACCATAAGAACATTTGAAGTTAGGTCTTTAGGTTGAAAGACAACATATCCACCAGTACAACATGCTTTAATCAATTTTCTTTGTTACATGAGCTCTAATAAAAACACTAAAACATTATTATTGTCATCGTCATTTGAAATAGCCACATACAACACACGTGCACATTTACTGGTCATACTAAAAATACACATGTATATCTTAATTCTTGGGAGATCAATATTGTTCTTATCAATGATTATAAATATATAAATTTTAATAAATCAATTGTTTTTAAATTTTTTTATTTTTTAATAAATATGCACTAAGAAGTGAAAATAGCTAAATGTTAAAATTTATGTGCTTTTCAATCTAACCCTCTTCATTAAGTTGCAGGTCGAAAAAAGTTCAACGAGTTAAGTAGTGACCTCCCAATGCAAGACAAATGAAGATAAACTTCGATGTTTCATGCCAATTGAACAGGATGGCCATGACAGCTTGGGTAGCAAGAGACACCATGGAAGGATTATTTATGGTACCGATAGACTGGGGAGATGTGATATCAAAATTGTTGAAGCTTTGCAGCCAAAAAAAAGTTGTAATAATGGTATTAACTATAGTTACAATGATATTGTCATCGAAGGGACTCAAACTATAGAAGAGGCCATTGATCTTGAGGGAAATGCTCCATGGAACATTGAGCTGATCGCCCAAGACACAAGGGAGCTGGTAGAAAACAGTGGCAAGAACATCATATTCAAGCACATTCCTCGTGAACCTAGTAGGTTGGCGAACTTCATCATTGGTGTATCAGATCCATTAGTAGCAATGGCTTTCCAGGAGACTATCGAGAGAATTAGACTAATTGACTTGTGGAGCAGCTATACCCCTCGCCTATCTTAGAGCTCTTCCCATTAAAAAAAAAAAAAACAACTTATTTGTGGCCTTTATCCAGGCATGTCCATGAAAACTAATCCATATAAACCATGGGTGAGTTTTGGCATCCAGGAAAGTGTGATAAATGGTTATGAAGAATAGATAGTATTCATCACAGGATGTTTAGGCATATCTAATCGGGTTGTTTCTTTTGCATGATCTCTTGAATCCTTGGGCCCGCTCTCCCCTAGGGTAAGTTTTTTTTTTTTTTTTCAATTTTTTGAACCAGGGGAGGGGAAGTAGGGAATTTACTTGACACGTAGCCACGTTTCGTGTGTTCCATAATCTTTACAAAGTTATACCATACATCATTTTTGCTGGGGATGCAACACAACACTCGGTATGGAGAGTTGGCTGGTGAATGGTGATGAATCTACTTCAAGATTCATGAGAGCAAAAGAGGGGCTTAATTCATGAGAACCATTTTCTTGGCTGGTGAATGGTGATGAGTCTACTTCAAGACCCCATGTCTTTGCTAATGGCAATCTTTGGTCGCCACTCGCTAGTGGTAATTGTATTTCTCAAATGTTTGGTATTGCTTTCAATGAGACAATTTTGTCGTTGGTCGAGCAAAAGAATATGGGCATTTTGGATGTTTTATTTTATTATTTTTTATTGAAAATGTTAATTTCATTAAAAATATTTTAGAGTACAACTAACAACCCCTAGTGTAGGGAGTTGATCCAAAAGACAACTCAAATTACAACACTGCCCATAACATATTGTCCCAAAGTCTTTTTTTGTTAAGCCATCTGCTAATCCTTAGTTGATCTTGTCCACTTGAAGCAAGCACCAATCTCCCTTGTTAAGCTAAGAATTTCCTTTATCAACTGCCTGTGTTCAGGCATCAAAACAATCTAACAGCCAACTAATTACCAACTTAGAATCCCTTTTTATGTCAATTTGGTGTAGCCCCAACTGTTTAGCATATCTTACATCTTATTAAAACTAAGTCATAATCTATGCTCTCAAAGAGTTACCCCCTCCTATTAGTCCATAATATAATGAATTGTTTTGCCTTTTCTGTCTTTGAATATCCCCTTTGGATTGCCCATAGAGCTACATCAAAGTTTAACTTCACCCTTTGTTGTGTTGGTGGGGACCATTATTCCTATACAATTGTCTAGAAAAAAGTAGCAATCGCAGCACCCCGGTTCCTATATATATCTTCAACTCAGAAGGTTGTAAACAACTTACTTGTCTTCAAGTGAATAACCCTAATAGTTATCTTTCTACAACTTCTTCCTTTGATTTAGACACTTTGAAAAATTATTTTATTTATTTCCTCCCAAATTACCCAAAGCATAACTATTCCTGTAGCTCTCCACATAACTCTTTCATGCTTCTTCGATTGCCTAAAAAAAGGTTGGATCAAAAAGATTTATCATATCCAAGTAATGATTCCACCTACAATTGAAGAGAGAACAAAACCAAGACCAAATAAATGACGTAAAAGGATAGGAGATTGATATATGTATAATCATTTCACCAAAACCCAAGCAAATACTACAAACATGGGTGAAAGGCATTGATTTTTCCTTTTTCCTTGTAGTAAACCAAGGTATTGGTTTTTTGAAGTGTGGCCTCCCAACAAAAAGCCCGAAATTTTGTTGGTACAAGACTATACCACAGCTCCTTTGTTGGAAAGTTTCTACAATGTTAGAGGACTAAAGACCAAATAAGTGACGTAAAAGAATAGAAGATTAATAGATGTGTGATTGTCTCACCAAAGCCCAAGCAGAGACTACAAATATAGGGTGAAAGACATTGATTTGGCCTTTTTCTATGTAGCAAATCTAAGGTCTTAACTTCTTGAAATGTCACCTCCCAATAAAAAGCTTGAATTTTTGCGGTACAAGACTACACCACACCTATTTTGAAAAGTTCCCCATTGTAGTAAAGGGTTGAAGGAGGAAGGACATTATAAAAAGAAGAAAAAGTGCATAGCCAGAAGGAAAAAGGTTTTTAAATTCTATTATCCAAACAAGATTGATTTAAATAGGCCATTCCTAAAAGAGCAACAAGTTCATCAACCATTTCCATTTCTGACTCTCTTAACCCTCTCCTCAAGCTTAGATGCCAAGAGTTATCAGTAAAAACCAAGGATATCACTTTTTCTTGTGTCCTCTAAAAGGGAAGAAATAGCAGGGAACCTATCTTTTAAGGACAGATCCAAACATCTTCCTAAAACAACACTTTGTTTCTAACACATGCATCAAATTTGAAAAAAAAAAAAAGAAGCAAGGAAGACAAAATAATACCATGTATGGCTTTCAAGGGGGAACACTAAGAAGCCCTATGTCAAGACCCAAATCCCAGCCATTGTCTACCAATCCATATATGCTAAAAATCTCTCTAAACCATAGCCTATCCTATTCCAATGGTAATCTCCATAGCCATTTTCCCTACAAAGTTGTATTCTTTAATTTAATATTCCCCATTCTTAGACCTCCATCATCATTACTCCTAGATACCACTTCCTAATTCACTAGGTGATATTTCTTGACGTCCCCTGATTCTCATAAGAAGTCTCTCATAATCTTCTCTAGTTATTTTGCCACTCTCACAAGTATTTTGAAGGTCTAGGCAGGAAATAAATCGGAAAATTGGCTAAAGTAGACATGATTAAAGTTATCCTACCCCCCCCCCCCCCAAGGAAATGCAATTTCTCTTCTAATTTGCAAGATTCTTCATAAATCTTTCAATCATTGGGTACCAAAAACTGTTTGAATTTGAACTCCCTCACAGTGGTAGTCCCAAATATTGCAACGGTCATGCCCTTACCTCACACCCCAACATTCAAGTTAGAGTATCCACCTCTTCTCTCCCTAAACTCACATCTTCCACAAAGCTCTTGCCCTAATTTACTTTAACATTGGAGACTTTTTTGAAACGGTGCACTAATTTTTTAAATTCAAAAGCACTTGTACTTCCTCTTCACAAAAAAGTATGAAATCATCTAAAAACCATAAATGTGTAACTACAATTGTTGGGATTGTCTTATTTTACAACCATTGGATTAATTTTAATCTAATGATTGGTGTAGTCCCCCTTTAGGTTAAAGAGGTTTTACATATAAAAGTTTCTTTATGTATGTAGGGTTAAGGTTTTTTTTTTAGAGAGAGAGAATGCGTAAGAGAAAATATAGAGTGCTCTTGGTGTAAGAGGGGGTTTTTTCTCTTGTTTTTGCTCTTCGGGTTGAGAGAAAATGGACAATTGGTGTACAAGGGTTAGGGGTTGGTTTAGGATACAAGCCACAAAGTACTTGTATTGTTTCTCAGTTTTCTCTCATAGTGAAGAGCAGGTTTCATCTCTCCCGTGGACGTAGGCAGTAAGGCCGAACCACATAAATCTTTGTTTTCTTTGTTGTGCTTGTTTTTATTTGTCTTTGCTTGGATTTCATCATTTTTTCTACTATTAGATTTCTCATGGTTGCTATTTCAAATACCTTGTAATTTTATATTGTGAGGGGTTATTGTGAGGCCCTCAACAAAGTGGTATCAAAGCTCCCAAGTTAGTGTTCACAAGGTGTTTGTAAAATTGCTTGAGAGATAATGGTAGCAAAAGAAACAAGTTCTTAGTTCCAAATTGAGAGGTTTGATGGCAAAGGCTATTTCACCCTATGGGAAACAAGGGTAGAGGATGTCATGGTTCAATAAGGCTTGGCTAGAGTGTTGAAGGAAAAGGATGGGAAGCCAGAAAACATAAAGGATGTTAATTAAGAGGATATCGAGTCAATGTGTGTTAGTACTATCCGATTGCTCCTGGATGATAACGTTATGTTTAACATGATAGAGGAAGATTCTGCACCAGAATTGTGGGATAAGCTAAAGAAGGTTAATTGGGAAAAAGCTTAACTACAAAGTTATATCTAAAGTGGTAGTTGTACAAGCTGAAGATGGAAGAAGGTGGAAATCTCCTAGAACACCTAAATGTGTTCAATAGTATCTTAGATCAACTAGGGAAAATTGATGTCAAGGTGGAGGAAGAAGACACAACCCTTTTACTTCTTATAGCACTTCCTGATTCATATGGAAACTTGGTGACAACATTATTGTACGGGAAAGATACAGTAAAGCCAGAAGAAGTTAGTGCATCTCTTCTATCTAATGAGGTTAGGTGGAAGCCCAAGTATGAAAGCGAGCTGGACTCTGCGTTGGTTATGCTGGGAACGGATCGGAAAGGAAGGTCATCTGATAGGGGGTCTGAGAGCAGCAAAAGTCTAGATACAAGGCCAGGGAAAAGGGCAAGATTCAGTGTTATAGATGCAAGAAATTTGGTCACATGAAGAGAGATTGTCCTATACAAAAAAGGAGTGGGGATGAATTTGGAAGCGTGGAAATTGCATCTGATGATGATGGAGATGTTCGTACAGTCTTCGAAGGTATATGCAATTTTTCTCCAAATGAGGGGGTTTTAGATTCTAGATGTTTTATGTATATTTGCTTCAATAAGGAATATTTTGACACATTCCAAGAGAAGAAGACAGGTGTTATCTCCTTAGGTGTTGGATCTACATGTAATGTTACGAGTGTTGGGACGATGAAAATCAAAATGTTTGATGGAGTAGTTCACACTCTGGGTGGTGTGGCGTATGCCTAAAAAATGTGTAGGAATCTAATATCACTTAGTAGGTTGGACTCTAAGGGTTTCAAGGCTTTTGTTGCAGGTGGAGCCATGAAAATTACACATGGTGGTATGATCCTGATGAAGGGAGAATAATGCAAAGGTTTGTATCATCTGATCGGGGGTACAATGATTCCCAAAACCTCGATGAGATATTGGAAACAAAACGCACAAGGTAGTATGGCCACACCAAGGGTCTCTTTTGCAGATAGAGTGGAGACAAGTGCTACAAGTTTCCAAGGTATAGATGATGGTGAAAGGAAGATTCCTATTGGAATAAAGGAAGGATAGAGGTCCCTCTCTAAAGTTAATTAGGATTGTTAGCTTGGGCACAGTTACACAAGTACATTGGTCGTTTTGTTTGAATCAGGTGAAGTCAGGACTGAGTGATTCATGTTATGTGTAGCCGGTGGTATTTTACAAATTCAAGGGAGGTTTGCGGTATTTGCAAATAGGTGGAGGTACAAATAGTATATCTCTAAAGTGGTTGAAAAATAAGCCAAGGTGGAGATTGTTGCGATCGTGTCTTATTTTATAACCACTGGATTAATTTTAAACTAACAGTTGGTGTGGTCCCTCTTTAGGTTAAAGAGGTTTTACATATAAAAACTTTCTTTTGTATATAGGGTTAAGTTTTTTTTTTAGAGAGGTGTGAGAGAAAAATATAGAGTGCTCTTGTATGAGAGTGGGTTTTTTCTCTTGTTTTTGTTCTTCGGGTTGAGAGGAAAGCGAGAACGGATGTACAGGGGTTAAGGATTGGTTTGGGTTACAAGCCACAAAGTACTTGTATTGTTTCTCAATTTTCTTTCATAGTGAATAACAGGTTTCATCTCTCCCATGTATGTAAGTGATAAGGCCAAATCACGTAAATATTTGTTTTCTTTGTGGCACTTGTTTTTATTTGTTGCTTGGATTTCATCAATTTTGCTACTATTAGATTTTT